GGAGTTGCTTGAGTTGGGATGGGTGGAAGGAACACCCCCCAAGTTCATCGCCGTCCAACCTGTCGGATGCCAGCCCATAGTCAGGGCATTTGATAATGGAGAAGAAAGAGCAGAGGCTTGGCAGAACGCCGCGACCATTGCCGACGGCCTCCGCGTCCCCGGACCTTTCGCCGATTACCTTATTTTGCAGGCCCTGCGGGAATCCGGCGGCACGGCCTTGGCGGTGGAAGACGAAGACATGGTCCAAGCCATGTACGAATTGGCTACCACCGAAGGCATCATCGCCTGCCCCGAAGGCGCGGGCCACACTAGTAGCCTTGAAGCGACTGGTCCAGGAAGGATTCCTGAACAAAACCGACACGATAGTCCTGCTCAACACAGGCTCCGGGTACAAGTATTTGGATTTGATCAAGAAGTAAGGGGCCGGGCCATGAGGCGGGTGTGCCTGCCCCTTGTCGGGATTACGACATCCGGGAGGAAGCGTCTTGGAAGTGTTTCTCAGCTCACCGCGCGGCTTTTGCGCCGGGGTGGTGCGCGCCATAGAGGTTGTAGATATTTGCTTGGAGCGGTACGGCCCTCCGGTCTACGTGAAACACCAGATCGTCCATAATCCCCACGTCGTCGCCGACTTGGAACGAAAAGGGGCCATCACGGTTGATACCCTGGACCAGGTCCCTGTCGGATCTCTGGTGGTGTTCTCCGCCCACGGCTCTCCGCCGGATGACTTCGAGCAGGCCGAAGAGCGCAGCCTCCGGGTTATCGACGCGGTCTGCCCGTTGGTGACACGGGTACACAATGAAGCTAAGAAGTACCACCGCGAGGGCAAGAAAGTATTGCTGGTGGGCCATCGGGGGCATCAAGAGGTGCGGGGCACCATGGGCCAGGTTGATATGACTCTAGTCGATGACAGCGCCGACTCTCTACTCCCCGATTGGGCCCCAGACGATGAAGTGGCGGTGCTTACGCAAACAACCCTCTCGGTAGGCGACACCGCGCAGAGCATAGATGCCATCAAACAGCGTTTTCCAAGCGCAGTGGTGCGCAACGACATTTGCTACGCTACGACCAACCGCCAGTTCGCGGTGACCGAGATGGCGGTGATGGTGGACCTGGTGCTGGTGATTGGGGCTGTGAACAGCTCCAACTGCAACCGCCTGCGCGAGGTGGCGGCCTCCCACGGTGTGCCATCCTACCTCATCAACGGACCCGAGGAGATCGAGGCGTCCTGGCTGGATGGCGTATCCAAGGTGGGGATAACTTCCGGTGCTTCAACGCCCGAGGTCCTGGTGGAAAGCGTCATTTCGGCATTGGCGCCGGACAAGGTGACCATGCTGTCCGGCGTCGAAGAAGATGTAAGCTTCACTCTGCCAAGAGAGTTGCGCTAGTGGTGGGCAACCGCCCCTGGGGTGTCCCACTGCGCCGCTAATGCCGCCATCCGGTAGTTCTCCGGGAGAGCCGGTCCACCTAAAGCGGCGTATATTCTCCATCCCAACCCTGCTGTCTTTATGCTTGGCGGGGCGCCCTGCTCGCGGCGCTGGTCACTCGTTTCGACGTGGACTTGACTCGGGCTTGGGCCGAAGCCAAAGCCGCCAATCCTTGGTATTTGGCTGCCGCCACGGCAACCCACTACTTCACCTTCGTGGTGAGAGGCGCCCGGTGGCGCCTGTTGCTGCAAAACGTCCAAACCGAAGGCTCCAGAATACCGGGAGTCGCCTATTGCAGCCAACTGGTGTTGATGGGCTGGTTCGGCAACTCGGTAGCCGGATTCAGGTTGGGCGATGCCTACCGGGCCTACCTGTACAGCAACGAGCAGAATACGCCCTTTTCCCGGATCATTGGAACTCTACTGGCCGAGCGGTTGCTGGACACCGTCCTGGTGGTGCTTCTGGTCCTGGTCTCGGCGCTTTCCTTGGCCGGTGGCGGAAGCCTGATCATCTGGACGGTATTCGGGGTATCGGTCGCGCTGGCCGCCGTTTTGCTTGCGCTATTTTTGACCATCATGTGGACCAGGGAACGAGCTTCACGCATTTTGCCCGGTTGGTTCGCCACACGATACCAACAACTCCACGAAGGCGTGGCTGGAAGCTCCAAACAAGTGTGGCCGATCACCCTTTGGGGGTTATTGGGATGGTTTACGGAAATAGGCCGGCTTTACTTGGTGTCCGAAGCCCTTCACTTGGGCATCGGCTTTCCGCTGGCCATGTTCCTGGCGTTGGCCAATTCATTGTTGAGTTTGACGCCCACTCCCGGCGGCCTGGGAGCCGTGGAAGCCGGTGTGGCGGGACTATTGGTGCGATTGTCCAGCGTTTCGGCCAGCTCCGCAGCGGCTTTGGTGGTGCTTGACCGGCTGATTACTTACGTGCTGGTCATCGCTATAGGGGTCATGTTGCTCATGCTCCGCCAAGCCTTTCCTGGAATGTTTCAGGCCCAAGCCAGCCGCAACACGGCGTGATGAATGTAAGCCCAAGAAAGATGCGAGATTAACCGTAATGCTTTACACCGCCAGCTTCTATGACCAGGACGACTGGCACGGGATACTGTACAGAGTGTCCAGAAGCCACCCGAGGGGCCGTCGTACCCAGTGGGAGACTTTGCCGTTCCTGTACCCGGACCGGCAGCTACTGGTTGCCTACCGCAACAGCGACATTGACTTCGATGCGCTCTCCACAGCTTACATCGAAGGGCTAGAAAACCGGCTCGGGGAGTCGGCCCAGTTTCAGGAGTGGCTGGAAAACCTCGATACTTTGAGCGACTTCACCCTGCTATGCTTCGAGCGGGGCGACCGGCCCTGCCATCGCCGGGTGTTGGCTCAATGGCTGTTGCGCAACGCGCCCGGCTTGGAACCGGGGGGATTACGCTAGGCAGCCCGCATGTCGGAACAGGGCCTGTGCAAAGCGGTGGGAGACAATGCGACAGTTCATAGTCATTCCCGCGCAGGCGGGAATAACGGGTTGGGGTCAAAATTTCGCTATTGGAAGAGACTTGGACTCACCACTCGGAGCGAGGCGGGCGTTCCATCAGCTGGTTGACGGCATCGTGGGGCGACAGGTCCTCGAACAACACCCGGTACGTCGCTTCGGTGATGGGCATCTCCACGCCCAACTCGCGTGCCATGGCCAAAGCCGCATCGGTGGTGTTCACTCCTTCGGCAACATTGTTCATCGCTTCTCGGATTTCCGGCCAGGAACGGCCCATGGTAAGCTGCTCCCCAACGTAACGGTTGCGGCTCAACCGGCTGGCGCAGGTCGCTATCACGTCTCCCAGTCCGGCCAAGCCCGCGAACGTCAACGCTTGGGCCCCGGCAGCAACTCCAAGACGAGCGATTTCGGCCAAGCCTCTGGTAATGAACGCGGCCTTGCCGTTGTCGCCCATTTCCAGGCCGTCGGCGATGCCCGCGCCCAAAGCGATGATATTTTTTAGAGCACCCCCAAGTTCTACCCCCGTCAGATCGTCACTGGTGTAGACACGGAATGCCCCCGTCATAAGGATTTCCTGGGCCCGGTTTACCAGTTGGCTGTCTCGGCCGGCAACGACGGTGGAAGCGAACTTCCCTTGAACGATCTCGTCGGCGAAATTTGGCCCCGACATGGCGCAAATCCCGTCATGGAAATCAACTGAGAGTTCCTCCTCCATAACCTGGCTCATCCGCTTGCCACCGGGCAATTCCAAACCTTTGGCCCGCACTGACGATCACAACGCCGGGCGTCAAGCTTTCCCGCACCGATCTTATGTTGTCGCGCACACTGTGAGATGGGGCAGCGATTATCACCAAGTCGGCAGACGGCAGCGCCTCACCCGGGTCGGCGGCCACGGTCAGAGATTCGGGGAAAGGAGTGCTTGGCAAAAAGCGGGCGTTACGCCTGTCAGCCTGGAGTCTCTGAGCCTCCGGGTCCGTTCTCGCCAGCAAGCTGACCGGCAAACCTTTCCTTGCCAGGATGATGGCCAGCGCCGTCCCCCAGGTAGTGGCGCCGACGACGGCCACCCTTGGCTCCAATAACGGACTACTCATTCATCGGCGGCGAGCAGCATGCTCTGCAAGGAGTACCTTTATACATCGGGCCGTCAATTAGCCTTTGTCGCCGGAGTTCCCAAGCGGCGTTCACTGCCATCACGGATTCGCTGGATGTTGTCCCGGTGCTGCCAGATGATGATGGCGCCGCCCAGAAAACCGTAGAGGGTATAGACGCTGAACGTCTGACCCAGCAGATACAAGGCCACCAGGGTGACACAGGCCGCAATAACTCCCACGATGGAACCCAGCGAGACGTAACGGCTGACCAGAGTAGTGGCCGCAAAAGTGGAGAAGGCAACAGCGGCGGCGATAGGTGAGAGGACCGATAGAGCCCCCGCCCCTGTAGCAATGCCTCGGCCGCCGCGAAATCCGAGAAATACCGGCCAGTTGTGGCCGGCTAAAGCCATGAGCCCGGCGGCCACCTCCGCTTCCCGGTGTCCGATAACTTCCCCAGCCAAGAAGACCGCCAGAACACCCTTGCTCACGTCCAACATCAACACCAGGGCGGCCACCTTGCCTCCACCCGGTGCGCAGGACGTTGGACATGCCGGTCCTGCCGCTGCCGTACTCCCGAATGTCGACCCCGCGTCGCCATTGCAGTAGCAAGTATCCCCAAGGCATCGCCCCCACCAGATAAGACAAGCTGAGGACGACCGCGTATTGAGCCAACACGGGTTGGGTCGACATAGTAAACAACGCCGCCACAAAAGCAGCCACAAGCAAAGGCAGCGTCACCAGCGCCGATGTACTGGCTGACCAATGGCGCATCATTGTCTCTTGAACACCAACCTTAAATGAGTCCTGTCGAATCCGAAGGTGTCCCGGATACGATTTTCCAAGTACCGTTGATAAGAGAAGTGTACTAGATCAGGACTGTTGACCGTGAAGAGAAAGGTAGGAGGGTTTACGCCAACTTGTCTCACCCGGCTGATAAACAGCCTCTCCCGAGGACGCCTCTTCACCGGCGGCGGTGTGTGACTCGCCAAGGCGTCCGCCAGCATGTATTGCAGTTCTCTGGCCGGAACGAAGCGGGACCGCTCCTGCCGCAGTTCCAGCACGGTCCGCATCACCACGTTTATACCCTGGCCGTGCAACGCCGACGTAAAACAGACCGGGACGTAAGGCATGAAATGAAGGCGGGTCTTTACCCTGGCTTCGGCCCTGTGCTGGGCATAACGGTCTCCGTCCCGGGCCAAGTCCCACTTGTTCACCACTACCACCAACCCGCGGCACATATCCCAAGCTAACCCGGCTATATGGGCATCCTGAGCGGTCGCCATCTCCGTGGCGTCGGTGACCAACAACGTAATATCACTTCGGCTCACCGCGTTGACGGCCCTGATTACACTGTACTGTTCTATCCCCCGTTGTACCTGGCCTCGCCGCCTGATGCCGGCGGTGTCCACTAGAACAACATCGTTGCCATCGTAACTGAACGCGGTATCCAGCGCGTCCCGGGTAGTGCCCGCTTCAGGTGAGACGATGGAACGCTCTTCGCCCAGGATGCTGTTCAGCATCATGGATTTGCCCACATTGGTCCTGCCAACGATCGCCAGGTTTAATGCGCCTGCGGCCGGGTCCTCCGCTTCCTCTTCTGTCGGCTCTTCCGGGTACGGCAAGAGGGCGCAGATACGCTCCATCAACTGGTATACGCCCAGGTTGTGGTAGGCGCTGATCAGCAGCGGGTCATCGAACCCCAGTTGGTAGAATTCAGCGGCGCTGAGTTCGCGGGACTCGTTGTCCACCTTGTTTACCGTCAGGATAACGGGCTTGAAGGTGCGCCTCAGCCGATCGACCACCAAATGGTCCGTGGGCGTCAACCCGTCCGTCACGTCGGTCATAAACACAACCACGTCGGCATCGGACACGGCCATTTCCGCTTGTTCCTGCACCCTCTCGTTGATGTGGCCCTCAGGCTTTGTTTCCAGACCTCCGGTGTCGATGAGAATGAAGCGGTAATCGTCCCACCAGACCTCGCACATCAACCGGTCCCGCGTGGTCCCGGCGATGTCGGTCACGATGGCTTGGCGGCGGCCCAGAATCCGGTTAAACAAGGAAGATTTACCTACATTGGGCCGCCCGACGATGGCAACGACGGGCAAGGGTGAGTTAGTGTCGTAAGCGGGATCGCCAAACCCGTCGCCGCCCGTCTGTGGGCCTTCCAAAGGTCCGCCCGCCGTTTGGGGGACATTGGATGACTGGAGGCGGCCTTGAGACTCTGGAATGGGTCTTAACAATGAGCACCTTCCCGCGGCTTGGCTTGTGGACGATAGCGCTGCCGCACCGGCAATCAGCCGCCGGTCAGTATGAATTCCAAAACCGCCTTCTGAGCGGGCAGCCGATTGTGGGCTTGGCTATAGGCGATTGATTGTTCATGTTCCAACATGCCCTGAGGTATCTCCTCACCGTAGTGCACCGGCATATCGTGCATAAAAAGAGCGCCTGGGTTGGCTTGCGCAAGCAGGGCGGGATCGACCGTGTAGCCTTGGAACGCCCGTCTCCGGACCTCTGACTCCGCTTCCTGGCCCATGCTGGTCCAGGCATCGGTGTACACCACGTCGGCGCCGCTTACCGCGTCGGCAGGGTCCGTGAACTGTTCCACCTGCACTGCCTCGCCGGAGGCAGCCAGTTGCCGGGCCTTGGCGAGGGACTCTTCGTCCAGATGGTAACCCCGTGGCCCCGCTATCGTGAAGTTCATACCCAATCGGGGCAATCCTATGCAAAGGCTCCGTGACACGTTGTTGCCATCACCAATGAAGGCCAATCGTAGCCCAGCCAAGGGGCCTTTGTGTTCCTGGATGGTCAACAGGTCGGCCATTGTCTGGCAGGGATGCTCCCAATCGGACAGTGCATTGACTACCGGAACGCTGGAGTAAGCGGCCAGTTCTTCAAGGCTTTCATGGGAGAACACCCGGGCGACAATGCAGTCTACATAGCCCGATAGTACTCTCGCCACGTCCGACGCGGGTTCCCTGCTGCCCAAGCCAACCTCTTGCTGGCCTAAATAGACGCAGGTCGCTCCCAACTGCTGGATGCCCACCTCAAAACTGGCCCGCGTACGCAACGATGGCTTTTCGAAGATAAGAGCGACGCTTTTACCATCCAGAGGCTTCGGCGTCGGGTCCGATTTCAGCTCGGAAGCCCGACGGAGAAGGTCCAAGGTCTCCTTGGGGCTGAGGCTGTCAATGGAAAGAAAATCGCGTTTGCTCGACATACCACACACCTCACAGTGGAGCATCATATCTCAATATATGATGTGGTTCAAGCCGAGGTTTCCCATCCCAATAGTACAAGCTTGATTGCGCTGTTAGTCACCTTATTCAAAGCATCTGGTATCATAGACACCCACTGAATATTGCGAATACGGAGGCAGCACCAAATGGCAGAGTCAAAAGATCGTTCCGGGATTGAAAGGCGAGCGGCAGACTCTCGTTTGCGAGCACAACGTCGCCGGGCATGTCGACAAGTTCAGCACGCCTTCCATGATCAGTCTGATGGAACGGTCAGCCATCCAAGCGGTCCACGACCACCTTGAGGAAGGTCAGACCTCCGTTGGGTTTGAAGTAAATATCCGCCACTTGGCGCCGGCGGACATCGGCGCAACCATCACCGCATACTCCGAGTTAATCGAGGTGGACCGGAACCGGCTGACCTTCAAAGTTGAAGCCTTTGAAGGGGACCGAAAGATAGGCGAGGGCACCCACCGCCGCGCCATTATCAACACCACCCGTTAACGCCTCATCAAATAACCTCAATAACCGCAACCTCCTGGGCCATGCTTGGACGTTAGCACCCGCTCGGGCCGTGTGCTAAAATTCCTTTACTTTCCCCCAAGCTCAGTACCTACGCATTAATGTAGTAGGCCTATGAGAATGGGTGTCCGACTTGTTTACCGTTGGGAGCGACCATAATGGCCAATATGGAGCAAGTACAAATAGTCAAACAGGGCCGCGATGCCGTTGCGCGTTGGCGGGAAGAGCACCAAGGAGAGAACTTCGATTTACATGCGGCTTACCTGAGCTTCGCCCGCTTGGCGCAGGTGGACCTTCGAGGGCTCCGACTTGCGTGACTCCGACCTGATGGGCGCTACTCTTCCCCGGGCCAACCTGTCAGGGTGCCGGTTGAATCCCTGTCACCTGTACCGGGCTGACTTGAGACAAGCGAACCTGAGCAGGTCGTTGATTAACGGGGCGAACCTGCGGGGGGCCAACTTACAGAGGGCGGACCTGTCCGAGGCGGACATGGACCGAGCGGTCCTCTCGGATGCCAACCTGTCGGGCGCCAACCTGCGGGGGACTAACCTCTCCAGAACAAACCTGACCGGCGCTAACTTTACCGACGCAGACTTGACCGGCGCCATATTACATCGGGCGGCGTTGACCCGCTCGACTTTAGACGGAGCAATCCTGGAAAACGCCGATTTCTACGAGGCAACCTTCAATGACGTGAGCCTGTCGGCCACCAAGTTTGCGGGCAGCATCGTTGGCTACACGGTGTTCCAGAATTGTGACCTGAGCAAGACGGAGGGGTTGGACCAAGTCCGCCACGATGCGCCCAGCAGCGTGGGCTTGGATACTTTGTACCGTTCCGGGGGCCGGATTGAGGACATTTTCTTGCGCAACGCTGGAACCCCGGACTCCATCCGGGAGTTTCAGAGGATTCTTTTAGAGACCCCGCCGTTGTCAGGGGACTTTTTTATCTCTTGCGCCAGCCAGGACGCCGCCACCGCCCAAGCTCTCCAGGCCGACTTGCAGTCTCAAGGCGTCCGATGCTGGGTGTTCTCTGAGGATTTTCGAGGCAGTGCGTTGGTCGAACGACACAGCACCTCGGACCAAGAGGAAGTGGAGCGTTGGCTGAGGGACTACGACAAGCTGATCGTGCTATGCACCGACAACGCCTTGGACAGCGAGAAGATACGGAACGACATCACCCAAGCTCAACAGCTACAACAGAGCAAGGACGAGTGGCTGCTATACTTGGTGGATCCCAGCGGGCGCTTGGGCCAAAGCAGGAACCGGTTGGCCCGCACCCTCAGCAGCGAGCATGTGGTGTTCGACTTGGGCGGCAAAGACTCTGACCTCGAGAAGTACCAAGGTGAACTCTCCCGATTGGCGGAGAGTTTGTTGACGTCTCAACCGCGTTCTGCCGGTATCCCCACCTACGAGGAATTCCGGTTGTAGAGACTTCCTTCTGACCTTGGCAGCCGGTCAAGATTCAAAGCACAAATTAAGGCCTCGGTCCGAATCATCGGACCGAGGCCTTTTGGTTCCTGAAGAAGTCTGTGGTTGAGGATCGCTGCTAGATGTAGTCTTCCTCTTCCATCATGCCAAGGTCGTCCCGGCTCTGGCTCAAACCACGGGCAACCTCTTGCCTGAAGTTCTCCATCAACTCATCGCTGATGACGCCACCGGCGGCGGCGGCCTGCTTCTTGAAGTTATCGAACGCCCATCCTTCGGTGTCACCCTGAGGCATGTCGAAGAAGCCACGGTCGAATACCGGCAGTTCACCGGGGCCGAAGTAGCCCTTGCCCTCGATGGTGTACCCTTCCAGGTCGTGGGTGCCCTTGCCCAACACCTGTCCGGTGTCGGCGTAGTGCTCCATCACATTCTTCAAGCCATATTTCTGGATGGGGCATACCTTCATGCAGATGCCACAGCCCAAGTAACGGGCCATTATGGGACGGCAGCGCTTGAAGTACAACTTATTCTTTTCCAACCCACGCCACCAGATCTTGTCGCGCATCAGGGCGCGGCCCGGGCAGCGGTTCACGCAGACCTGGCATACCTGGCAGAATGCGTGGATGCCGTAGTCCACGGGTTTGTCGTAGCTAACATTGGCGTCGGTGGTGATCATGATCAAGCGGCAGCGGGAACCCTCTGACGGAGTCAGCAGGTAGCCGCAGGCGCCCAACTGTCCCAAGCCAGCTTCTACGAACATGGGAATGTAGGGGCCGGTGTTGTCTGTGGGGCTCTGGATCTGGGCATGGTAGCCGATGGAGTTGATGTACGCCGCCAACTCCAAAGCCGCAGCTCCTTCCGTCCGGTAGGTGCTGGAGTGCACGATCTCAGCATCGATGCTGGGGATCGTCTGGGTGGGCTCGAAGTCCTGCTCGTACGCCAAACAAATGACGTGAGGGAACTTCACATAGTCTTTCTTGCTCTGGTAGGTGTAGCGGTAATCGTAGTAGGTGATGCCTACTTCCAGGAATCCCAAGTCCTTGGCTTTGTCCTTGATATCCTGGGAAACGTCTCCGCCGGTTGGCTCCACGGTGGGATCCTGGTCGCCGGTGAGACGGGCAGCCATGACCAACGGCCGGTTCAGCTTGTCATGCTCTTTCCGGATCTCCCGCATCTCGATGTGGGTGTCGCGAATGGCGTTTGCCCAATCGCGGGAGGCCCTCTCTGTGATGTTCATGGTCTCCAGCGGATACTCTCTGGCGTACCAGTCAACCTCGCGCTGGTTCAGCGGAATCCCCGGGACTGTCTCTAGTTCCTCTGGTACCGGGATAGTTACAGGTTCATCACCCCGATGCCTCCCAGGTCGCACAACCTCGTGGCCTATCTTTAGCATGAATTCTCCTCCCTAATTGTACATCTATTCAGTAGGCTGATACGCAAGAATTCGCTTACGATACCTATTTCCTATTTATTTGTCAACCCTATGTTCATGGGAAATGTATATCAATTTAACGAATACTAATCCCTAGCAAACAGAATATTAATCTCCACGCTGGGTATCGTGGAGTGATTCCGGTCAGGAGGCCACAAAAAACCCGGACCCGTTGCAAACGGGTCCGGGTGCACGAGTATCTAGGCTAGCGCCGGACCTTGTGCCCGGCGCATTCCTGACAATCGACTTTAGATGTAGTCTGCGTCGATGTCCAGATCGTCGTCGATCATGCCGACGGCGTCGTCCGCTAGGCACTGGCCACTAGCGTCGATGAATCTCGTCATTCACGCATCGTCAGAGCATATCATCGGTGATCGCGCCGCCAGCGGCTGCGGCCTGCTTCTTGAAGTTATCGAATGCATGGTCCTCGATGCTGCCCTGGGGCATGTCGAAGAAGCCACGGTCGAATACCGGCAGTTCACCGGGGCCGAAGTAGCCCTTGCCTTCGATGGTGTACCCTTCCAGGTCGTGGGTGCCCTTGCCCAGCACCTGTCCGGTCTCGGCATAGTGCTCCATCACGTTCTTCATGCCGTACTTCTGGATGGGGCATACCTTCATGCAGATGCCACAGCCCAAGTAACGGGCCATTACGTAGTGACGGCAGCAGCTTGAAGTACAACTTATTCTTTTCCAACCCACGCCACCAGATCTTGTCGCGCATCAGGGCGCGGCCCGGGCAGCGGTTCACGCAGACCTGGCATACCTGGCAGAATGCGTGGATGCCGTAGTCAATGGGCTTGTCATGGGTGACGTTGGCATCGGTGGTGACCATCATCAACCGGTTGCGGTTGCCGGCGTGCGGGGTCAACAGGTAACCACAGGCGCCCAACTGTCCCAAGCCAGCTTCCACGAACATGGGGATGACCGGCCCGGTGGCGTCAGAAGAGTGGATTACGTGGGCCTTGTATCCCAGCGAACGGATGAAGTTGCCCAACTCCAACCCGGCTGCGGCCTGCGTCCGGTAAGTGCTGGAGTGCACGATCTCAGCGTCGATGCTGGGGATCGTCTGGGTCGGCTCATAGTCCTGCTCGTAGGCCAAGCAGATGGCATGAGGAAGGCTGGTGAAGCCCTTCTTGCTCTGGTACTCGTAGCGGAAGTCGTAAGGAGCAATACCTGCTTCCAAGTAACCCAACTGGTGGGCTTTGTTCTTGATCAACTCCGTGACGTCCTCGCCGGTGGGCTCGGCCGTCGGCTCCATTTCTGCGGTCATCCGTCCGGCGATGATCAGGCCGCGGTTGAGCTTGTCGTGCTCTTTGCGGATCTCACGCATTTCAGCGTGTTCGTCCCGAAGGTTGTTCGCCCAGTCGCGGGATGCACGCTCGGTGTAGTTAATGGACTCCAGGGGATACTCCCTGGCATACCAGTCAACTTCCCGGTCGTTAATAGGAATGCCGGGGACGGTTTCCAATTCTTCGGGCACGGGAATGGTCATCGGCGCATCGCCGTATTTGTAACCCGGCCTTACGATTTCATGTCCAATCTTGAGCATATCTAGCTCCTCCCGATAGCATGCTTGTGGCTGGAGTGCCCAGCCTTGAGGAATACAATATACGGTGCCTCAATATTTGTCAATAGAATGACATATGGCTTTCCATGTTCGCTGTAAAACTCTATGCCCAAGGCACTATTGTGACGAATTACGACGCATGGTTACGGATTCTTCCGTTATATTGAAGGACATGGTCCACTGGCCCGAACACTGGATGACGGCCTCGCCGGGCGAGGAGACCAAGCGTGTCATTTAAGAGTCTAGCTCCTCTGACGCCGCGCAATAACCGCCTCCGCGAAGGGACTTGCGCCCGAGCGCACCATCACGTTCACCAAGGATGGGCGGCCCGAGTTAACGGCCCGTTCCACCGCCGGAGCCACTTCATCGGGGCTCTCTACATATTCGGCGTATCCTCCAATGGCCTCCACCATCTTGTCGTACCGTATGAACCGCAGGTCGGTACCCACGGCACGATTGAAGTAGGCCAGTTGGAAGGTCTTGTCGATGCCCCAGGTCGCGTCGTTCCCCATCACCGTGGTGATGGGCAGGTTATGCCGGATACAGGTGTCGTATTCCATGGGATAGAACCCGAAAGCCCCGTCGCCGGTGAATACAAACACTTTGCTGTTCGGGTAAGCCAATTTGGCGGCCATTCCGTAGGGTATGCCGCCGCCCAAGTGGCTCAACGGCCCCAAGCGGACAAACCGGCCCGGCATACGGGCTTTCAGATAAGAGCGGCCCCACTGCACGTAATCGCCGCCGTCCATTACTATAAAGCTGTCCCGGTCGATGAGATGCTGGATTTTCGTAAATACGTCCACGGGGTGCATTGGACTCTCGCCGGTGGCCTTGCTCTCCAGTTCCTCTATCCAAGTCTTGCGGTCCTGGCGCAGTTGGTCCACCCATGCGGATATATCGGTCTTGCTTCCCTTGGCCGCCGCACTGGTCAATTGGTCTACTATGGCCCCCAAGTCGCCCAGCAGCCCGACGGAAACTCCTCTGTTGCGCCCGATCTCAGCAGGAGAAGGGTCTGCTTGGATGATCTTTGCGTCGGCTCCAAAGACGCCACCGTACCGATAGCGATGGTCCAGCCGCTTTCCCAATAACAACACCACGTCGGCCTCGCGGAAACGCCGTGCCGTAGCATTTAACCCGCCGTCCGCGTATCCAAAGCACAGGGGATGCTCGTCGTCCAACAGTCCCCTGGCCTGCTCCACGGTGAACACCGGAATGCCGGTGGTCTCGGCCAACGCCTCCAACTGCTCGGCGGCGACCGAGTAGCGGGCCGGGTTGCCCGCAATTATGACGGGGCGGCGCGCTTGCCGCAGCAGCGCCGAGGCTTCTTCTACCAAGGACAGGTCAGCCGGGGAACGCCCCATGCTACGGTACTCTTGCGGCAGGTACTTGGGCAGTTCCTCCTCCGAAATCTCCTGCTCCTGCAAGTCTATTGGCAGGGTCAAATGCACTGGGCCCGGGCGGCCCGACATCGCCGTCCGGAACGCCGTTGCCACGAATTCGGGTATCCGGCGGCGGTCGTGGATTAGCCACGAGCCCTTGGTGACCGGAGCCGCCATCGCGGTCTGGTCGATTTCCTGGAAAGTCACCATTCCCTTTTCCGGCAATTCGCCGCACCCCGCAACGAAAATGACCGGGCTTTCAGAGGTGTAAATCGCAGGCAGGCCGGAAATGGCGTTGGAAAAGCCGGGGCCGCCGGTAAACATCCCCACCGCCGGCTGGCCGGTAATCCTTGCGTAGCCGTCGGCCATGTGCATGGCCGCACCCTCGTGGCGGGTATCGATGAACTCGATCCCCTCGTCGGCGGCCGCGTCGACCAAGGGCAGGATCGTATCCCCCACGATGGTGAATATTTTCTGAATGCCTTCCTGCTTAAGGCAACGAATGAACAGGTGCGCTCCGGTAAGGGTGGTCATAATTGCTCCTGATGCTGGGAATCCAGCGGGATTAGAAAGTTAGTGTAGCAAAGGGTCGTAGTAGCGGCGGTACACATCCAGCGGTAACGCCGGAATCGCCATGATAGCACGCAGTTAACCGGTGTGCGAAACAGCAACGGAGTACACAGTGGGACGATAGTAAATCCAGTATATGTCCATGCGTTAAATGCACCTCAACTCTGCAATCGTTCCTCTCCTTTCCTTGATAGCCATCCGTGTTTGGCGTATCGTAAAACCCGATGGAATAGTGGATTCCCAGACCAATTCCATTTTGGGTTGCGGTTTCCTCGCCCTGAATTTCATACTTCCCACCACATTCCAAGGCGGCCGCTTTGACCTCTACACCCGAATAGATGCAAAGTTTCTTCACCGGCAATCCCGACTGGTGGCAGGACTTCTTCACCGGGACGGCGCTGGACTTCGTGCGGGACTTCTGCGGGCCGCCGGGCGTCATGTCCGAATCGAGCTTCGTTGAACATGTCCTGGGGTTGACCCGCGGGTCCAAAGTCCTGGATGTTCCCTGCGGAGCCGGGCGCTGGTCAGTGCAGTTGGCCGCTATGGGCTATGACGTTACCGGTGTGGACTTCAGCCGCGAACTGCTCGGAATGGCGGAGAAGGCGGCAGCCGATCGCTTGCAATGGGACTCCCATGCGCCCCGGACAGGCTCCGGCGGAGGCCTGCGCGTCGCTTGGGAGCACGGAGACATGCGGCGCCTGCCATGGGAAGCGGAGTTCGATGCGGCGCTTTGCCTCTGGAACAGCTTCGGGTATTTCGACGAGGACGGCAACGCGGAGTTCCTGAGGGCGGTCTCCCGGGCATTAAAGCCGGGGGGGCGGTTCCTGCTCGACACGCCGGTCATCGAGACCTACGTCGCCGAAATGGAGGCCCGTGACAAGGATTGGTGGCAGACACCGGAGGGCCTGATCGCCCTGGAAGACCGGTCGTATGACCACGCAACTAGCCGCGCCGAATCGCAATGGACTTTTATCGACAATGGCCGGGTTGAAAGGAAAAAACTTTCCGTAAGGCTGTACACCTACCGGGAGTTGACCGCTTTGCTGGAACAGGCCGGCTTTGGCGGCCACGAAGCCTACAGTTCGGCATTTGGCGACATGGAGCGTTCCCATCACTGGGAATGGGACCCCTTCGAGTTGGGGTCTCCCGCGCTTTGCATGGTTACCACCAAGCAAAGCGACCCCAAGTAGACCCACGCCAACTGGACAGCGTCCGCCGTTTACCACGGGCCGATTGCAAACTTCCCTGCAGACCACCGATGGCGGGCTTATTGAACCATCAATTGGCGGGAGGCGGATACGCCGCCAAGTCCAGGGGCTGCCCGTTCAGGGTTATGGTGTCGTGGAAGAGTTCGGGCCGGCCTATCGTCTGGCGGACGTAACAGCCGTTGCGGGCATTGCGGACCAGTCCGGCAATGCGGGCAGGGGATTCGTCGGCCTCGATCTCGTAACTGATCTCAATTTTGTCGGCCCGGGCCTGTATAGTTTGCGCCAACACAGACCCTTCGACACCGACGCTTAACGCGATATGAGCCTGCACCTTTGATACCGATACTTTCATCATCTGGGCGTACCGCTCCAGTTGAGTCATCTCTCAAAAGAGAATCGACGAAGCGAAATAGGCCAGCGGAGAAGGGGCCGAGTTATCGCCGTTGGGGTTCCCTTCGTCGCACCGGATGGTGAATCCCCGCACATTGGACTCTTTTTTCATACGGTCCAACATGCGGGCATCCGCTTCGATGGTTACGGAACGGGAAAGATGGTCGGTGGAGCTATTGTTTGATGATGAGGCCGATGTTGTCATGGCGTTTTCCTCGAAGCTGCCCGTAATGGGCGAGCGTATTTTTCGGGAGTATAGCACGGCCCGTGACTCGCCCGCGTCACCCGCGGCCCAGTCCGACGCCGTCTCCGTTTCAAGCTATACTATGTTCAAATGGGCACGTTATTTGTGGTCGGCACACCTATCGGCAATCTGGAAGACCTTACCCCTAGGGCCGCAAGAATCCTGGGACAGGTGGACTTGATCGCCGCCGAAGACACCCGGGTGACGCGCCGGCTGCTGAGCCACTTGGGAATCAAGACGCCCCTGATCAGCTACAACGAGAACAACCGGCGGGAACGGCTGCCAAAGTTATTGGAGACCTTGGCGTCCGGGAACGTGGCGCTGGTGACCGATGCGGGTATGCCCGGCATAAGCGACCCGGGAACGGAGTTGGTTGCCAGGGCCGCGGAGGAAGGCGCCGCCGTGGAATCGGTGCCCGGAGCATCGGCCGTAACCACCGCCATTGCCGTGTCAGGTCTTCCAGGCAACGACTTCCTGTTCCTGGGGTTCCTGCCGCGGAAGCGCCGGGAAAGGTTGGCCCGGCTGCACGACCAAGTCTACTCACCTCACACACTGGTCATATTCGAAGCGCCCCACCGGGTCTTGGCCACCCTGGCGGATATGGCCGAGGCATTGGGCGACCGGCGGATTTCGGTCTGCCGGGAACTGACCAAGCTGCATGAAGAAGTGTTCCGCGGCACAGTCAACGAAGCTATCGCTTACTTTCCGTCGCCCAGAGGAGAGTTCGTTCTGGTCATTCAAGGCAACTTGGAACCCTCCGGGTCCACCGACCCCGCCGGGGCGCAACTGTCCGCCGCCCGGGACCGGCTGGCTGAATTGCGGACCTTGGGCGCGGCGCCCAAAGACGCCGTTTCCCAGGTTTCCTCCGGTTTCGGGCTGCCGAGAAACACGGTTTACCGTTGGTGGATAGACTTGGAGCGGCCAGACAGGCCCTGACTGTCACGGCGAAAGCGAAACATTTTTGTTACACCTTAATGTTCATGATGTTGTGAACTCTTTGTTATCATACTCAGCGATGAAGCGTTTGAATAACAGCAACACTGGACCAGCAGCTATTGGTTTGGCGAGACCGCGAACAGAGGGGCTAGCGGCATGACCGTCACCGGCCTTGTATTCCTTTCCTTCGGGGTCCTGCTCATGTTAATGGCGGTCGTCCCGGAGGTCGCCAAGAAGGCCCGCGGGGGGATCTTCTACGGCTGGTACTTGGTGGCCATCAGCGGCTTCGTGATGGTTATCGCAACCGTCCCCATATTCCACGCCATGGCCGTATGGGCGGTTGTGCTGGAACGGCAGTTCGGCTGGACCCGCACCGAGTTGGGCTTGGCGCTGACCCTGACCAGGGTGGAAGGCGGGATCATGGGTCCGGCTGAGGGTTACTTGGCGGACCGGGTTGGGACCCGGACGATGGTGCTCATCGGACTGACCATCACGGGCGTGGGATTCGTGTTTTTCGGGATGACCCAAAACCTGTGGATGTTTTACTTCGCCTACATCGTGATGTCGTTGGGGCAGGGGTTGGGCAGTTGGATGCCCATGATGACTATGTTGAACCACTGGTTCTCTCGACGGAGGTCGGTCGCCGTGGCTTGGGCTAACATGGGCAGCAGGGCCGGGGCTTTGTTGTTGGTGCCGGCCATAGCCTGGGCCGTCAGTCCGGACCACGACCGGTTGGGTTGGTCGATGACCGCCATCTTGTTGGGTATCTTTACTCTCGCGGTTGCGCTGCCCGTCTCCAGGCTGATCCGCAACCGCCCGCAGGACTATGGCCTTCTCCCCGATGGCGACCCTCCGCAGACGGGACGGGAGCAGCCGGCTCCGCAACAGGCCACGGCCCAACAGGCTGCTTCCACTCGCAGGGCCGATACCACCAACGTCGATTTCACCGCGGCTCAGGCGATCAGAACTGCGTCATTCTGGCTGATTTCCTTCGGCCACGGCTTCACGTCAATGATCATTCTGGCTATCATGTCCCACTTGGGCCTGCTGATGCAGGACAAGGGGTTCGACCTGCAAACGACAGCGTGGCTGGTGGCAGCCTACACGGGAGTCGCCATGGGCTCCCAGTTGATTGGCGGGTACTCTGGAGACCTGATTCCCAAGCGCATCGCCCTGTTTATCTTCACGACCATCCAAGCCACCGCGGTGGTCGTGTTAACCTTCGCCAACAGCCTGCCGACCTTCTACCTGTTTGCAGTCCTGTTCGGCATTGGGTTTGGCGGAAGGAATCCTTTGACGATAGCCATCCGGGGAGAGTACTTCGGGCGGGCCTCTTTCGGTAAGATTCTGGGTATTTCGTCGGTGCCGATGAATATCCTGCTGCTGATGTCGTCTCCTTTGCCGGCTACCTGCGTGACGTACAGGGTAGCTACACCAATGCCTTCCTCATACTGGCGGGACTCAACTACTTGGGCGGCTTCCTGTTCCTGATGGCGAAACGGCCCCAACTGACCAAGCCAGCGGCTACTCCCCAAGCGCAGACGCTGGCCGCATCTCGAGGCTAGGGTTGTGGTTTGGTGGTTGGTTGTTGTGTGGTTTTTTTTTGTTTTTTTGGGGTGGTTTGGTGCTAGTCGTGATCTTACATATGATGCACACCTGTGGAATGTACAAAGTCGAGCTTAGAAACTATCTCAAAACTTGTCGCAGCACCCAACCCGTCATTCCCGCCCACGCGGGAATCTATCGGTCTCGGTCAGCGACGTGGGGAAATCAGCGAGACTGACTGGTTTTGAGATAATCTCTTAGCCCTCGGTAATGTCAATGCCCATGATTTCGACCGGGTCGTTGGGCTTGTCGTTCCGCCCCCTGGGGACGCCTGAGATAGCGTCTGCCACGGCTTGACCTTCTGTCACGCGCCCGAAGACGGTGTGGCGTCCGTTCAAGTGCGGGGTTGGAGCGGTTGTAACAAAGAACTGGCTACCGTTGGTGTTCGGCCCGGCGTTGGCCATCGCCAGGATTCCCGGCGTGTCAAAACCGAACGCCGGGTCGAATTCGTCCTCAAACTGGTAGCCTGGACCCGACATGCCCGTTCCAGTCGGGTCTCCGCCCTGTATCATAAAGTTCGGAATAACCCGGTGGAAAATAACCCCATCGTAATAGCCCTCCCGCGCCAGGAACACGAAGTTGTTCACTGTCTTGGGGGCTGCAGACGGAAGCAGGTCCAAGGTTATGTCGCCATGGTTGGTGCGAATGGTCGCGCTGTAGCTCTTGCTGGCGTCAATAGCCATTTCCGGCGGCTGGTTGTACTGTCGTGGCATCGTTCCTCCAGACTGGCCCTCAGGGCCGTTGACGAGGATTCTAACATCTAAACCCCGCTCAGTCTAAACGAGACCGAGGACCTGCAGGGCAACCGCGTTTTAACTATCACTGGACCAGACAGGCCAAATCTGCCGCAAAACCTTCCGTCATTCCCGCGAAGGAACGTCACCCCCGCGAAGGCGGGGGCGGGAATCCACACTGTCTCCCATAAGCAAATTTGCCCTTTCCGACAACTATGGATTCCCGTTTCCACGGGAATCACGCCTGCCCCCGTGAAGACGGGCGATTAAATGGGCTGCCAAACTTTATAACGCAATTGCCCTGCGAGGACCTGCCCAATGGTAGCATTCATAATACTTATCATCTATAATAGTAAAGGGAAACGAAAACCGTTAGCCAAATGACCGGGGTGACGGCGCCGGACCCGTCGTTTGTGCAACCTCCCCGAGCTTGCTCCGGAGAACGGATGAGGTGGGAAAGTATGGAAATCTTTGAACCATGAACCGGTACGGCCATGAGCAACTGGTGATGTTTTCAGACCCGGCATCGGGCCTCAAGGGCATGGTGGCCATCCACGACACAACCTTGGGACCGTCCTGCGGCGGGCTGCGTATCTGGCCCTACGCCTCGGAAAAGGAAGCCGTGACCGATGCCCTGCGCTTGTCCCGAGCGATGACATACAAGTCGGCCGCAGCCGAACTGCCCCTTGGCGGAGGCAAAGCGGTGATCATCGCCGACTCGCGCACCCAGAAAACCGAGGCGCTGCTGCAGAGGCTTATGGAGGTTCTGAACTCCCTGTCGTACACTCAGCAACCTCACCACGAGGATCCGATGTGGTGCAGAGCAGCACACCGGCACGGGCTGGAGCACATGTCATCAGCTCCGGCGCCGCGAGGCGACGTACGGTGGTCGTACTTGCCAGACGTACTTGTAGGGCGGCAGTGCGACACCGGTCGATTGATGACAGTGGTTGGGTGTGTACATGGGGATGAAAGCCTGCGCCAAAGTGGTCTGGGGCACCGACTCCCTGCGCGGAAAAAAGGTCGCCATGCAGGGATTTGGAAAGGTATCAACCCATACGGCCCATCATCTGATGAAAGAGGACTCGGAAATCATCGTGACCGACGTCAACGGAGACGCCTTGAACGCCGCCAAGGGCATGGGCCTCAAGGTGCTTAAACCCGACGAGATTTACGACGTGGAGTGCGATATATTCTCCCCCTGCGCTTTGGGCGGCGTCATCAACAAGAACACCATCCCCCGCATCAAGGCGCGGGTAGTGGCCGGTGGAGCCAACAACCAACTGTTGACTGAGGACGACGGGGAAGAACTGCACCGGCGGGGCATCCTGTACGCGCCGGACTACCTGATCAACGCCGGCGGCGTAATTAACGCTTCAACGGAAATCGGAGCGGACTACAACCCGGAACTGGCTAGGGAAAAGACGGAACGCATCTACGAAATCATGGGGCGGATTGCCAAGGAGTCCAAGGAGAGGGAGATGTCCACTGCTCGCATGGCCGACCGCTTGGCCGAGGAGCGATTGGCTTCGGTGCGGGCCATTAAGCCGATTTACCGCGGCCGCTGATTCAGCCTTTTTACGGCGACCGGTCCTCAAAAATTGGCCGTACCAAGTGGCATTCATGAAAGCACTTGGTACGGCCTGAGTGCCTGTGAGTGGCAGGCCGCCAATTAAAAGGCCCGGCGTATGCCGGGCCTCCTCACGATTCGCTGGTCTACCTCGGGTTAGTGGGCTTTGCTCTCTGCCTCAAATTCGCAGGTCCGGTGGGCGCCGTCGCAATACGGCTTGTTCTCAGACTGGCCGCAGCGGCACAACGTAACCCACTGTCCTTCCGGCTGAGTATAGGTCTCGCCCTGCTGGTCTACCAACTCGAAGGGGCCATAAACCCGCATAGGGCCGTTTTCCCGGATTTCAATCTTGAAGTCAGGCACGTTTTTCTCCTGTGTGCAGAATCTGTGGGTCGGCGCGGAATTTCCGTACCCACCGCTTGGGTCGGTCTCCAGACACCAAAGTTAGTCTGACATCTGGTATTGGGGGTGTCAAGCGGACTTGCGCCGGTGTGTCAGCCTCGGGGGCCAAGCCAGTTTCTACTAATCGTCCGAGGCCTCTGCCACTGGCTCGGCCCGTGGCGCCTGCCGGGGCGGCGCAGCCCGTTGCGGGGCCCGGTTGTCTCTAAGCACCGATACCACCATCCCCACCAGCAGGATGCCGCCCATGAGCAGGAACGATCGGTGCAACCCGGACAAGAAGGCGTTGGCCACTTGCGGAGAAACTGCTTCCAAGCTGGGCTCAACCCCCAAGGACCCCATCGTCACCACCACGACCGTGGTGGCTACGGCGATGCTGGTCACGTTGGCGGAATTCCTGATCAGCTGGGTCAGCGAGGAGACGACGCCGTAACTGGACCGCTCCACGACACTGAGCATGGAGCTGTTATTGGGTGAGTTGAACAACCCCATGCCTGCCATTTGCAACATCAAAATTCCCACAACGAACACTAAGCTGGAGTCCATCCCCAAGCCTGCGGCGAAAGCGAACCAGGAAAAAGCGGATATTCCCAACCCGGCGGTGGTCAACCAACGCCAGCCGAATCGGTCGGACAACCGCCCACTTATCGGGCCTACGACCACCATGGTCAAGGCCGGCGGAATCAACAGCAGTCCTACATCCTTGGGTTCTAGTTCCAGGACGCGCTGAAGGTAAAAAGGCATCAAGAAACGGGTTGAGGATGTGCCTACGAAGGAAATCCATCCAGACGCAGCGCCGATAGCCACCAGCTTCCGGCGAAACAGCCGCAGATCGAGCATCGGCGACGCCGTCCGCAACTCCCACCAGACGAAAGCAGCGGAGCAAATCGCCGCGAGAACTGCTCCGGAAGTAATCCACCCCGAAGACCAACCCATCCTTTCCCCGTTGCCAACAACCAGGAGGAACAGCAGCAACGCAAACCCGGACAGGATCGCGCCCCACCAGTCGAACGCGGGCCGTTGGCCACCCTCAGCGGTAGCGGCCGCCCGGTCGTTGGCGAGGATGAGCACGGTTGCGACTATGGCCAGCACACCCACCGGAACGTTAACGAAGAATACCCAACGCCAACCAAGACCGCTGACCAGGAACCCTCCCAGAGCAGGCCCGGCAATGGCGCCAGTGGCCACCACGCTCAAGTGGTACCCCAAGCCCTTGCCTCGCTCAGTGCCGGGGAAAACGGAAACGATGGTGGCCATGCCATTGCCTTGGATCATCGCCGATCCCACGCCTTGAAGCACTTTGGAAGTTATGAGTACTTCCAGGTTGGGAGATGCGCCGGCCAACGCCGCCGCGACCACAAAAACTATGAAACCTGCAATGTATACCTGTTTGCGTCCAAGAATGTCTCCCAGCCGCCCCATGGGGAGCAGCAGAACGCTGATAGCCAGGGCGTAACCGACAACCAGCCATTGGACCGTGGGAAGGTCGCTATCGAAGTGGGCTTCAATCTCCGGCAGCGCGACCAACACGCTGCCATGATCGACCACGGAGAGGAAGGTGCCGATGGCGATGCTGCCGAACACCCACCATTTGTAATTTACGCCCTGCCTTACCGCTTGGGAACCGAGAGCTTTCGCACGGTAACTGACCCAAGGCAGGATGGCGTAAGCCACCAAAGCGATGCCGATGGCAAGGACGAGCAGGCCGGTAACGGTCATGCCGCTATGTCCCTCATGGCCAGCATCGGCAGGGTTCCACGTGGGTTGTCGACGACTAACGAGAGTGGAGCAGGCCGCAAATCACATGCGGCGCATATCAAAATCATAAATAGTGATGCCAGTATAACATCACTACACCTCTAGGTAACTATCTCAAAGCTTGTCGCAGCACCCAACAAATTTAGTACTGCACTCAACCCGTCATTCCCGCTGCTACACCGTCATTCCCGCGAGGCACCCGTCATTCCCGCGCAGGCGGGAATCTATACGCCTCGGTCAGTGACGTGGGGAAATCAGCGAGACTGATTGGCTTTGAGATAGTCTCTAAGCGGCGACTCCTGCTATCCGGCAATGCTGGCGAGGTTACCCGCGATCTGATTACTGCCGGGCTTCCAATATCCGTCGGAACATCCGGTCTTGTTGATCGCCGGCTAACAGTATGCAGTTTGAGCAGTATTCGTTGGACCGGTCAGCGCGCCACCAAAGGCAGCACCCCGCACGCCGGGAGAAGAACCCCTGGTTCCCTTGGTGGATGACCACCTCCATGCTCACTTGGCGGTATATCGGTGTGGCCGGGTCCTCGAAGAAAATGGCGGCATCGTTGACCACTGTACCGGGGGCGTTCGATGCTTCGTAAAGATTGTGGAAAGCTTGGCTGAAAGAGGCGGCCACGGCGTTCCATGAGACCTTGAGGCTGGCCTTGGCCGCACGGCGCAGTGAAGTGACCACAATGTTGAGGTTCTCCTCGAACAGCCACTCCTTCAATTGGGCATAAAGCTCAGCCTCGTCGGCCACCGCCAAAGCATCAGGGTCAGTGGCATCGGCGACCCCCGCCAAAGTAGCAAAACGCGAGGTGGCCAAGGCTGTTCCGTCGATGCGTTGTTCGCGCCAATGGAAGGTCAGGTTCGCCAAGCGCACGTCGGGGACTCTACGCTCCAGCACATACTGGGCGGCCACCGGCCAGATCAGCCGCGTCAGGTAGGCAATGAGGAAAGCCGACCCGGCAACATGGCAATTATCCGTACCCCACCGGTCCCGTCCATAGCCCATGACCAGATCACGTAATCGATCATCGTCATCTTGAAACAGGGACCGTGCGCTTGACCACCCCTCCTCTCCCTTACCTATAATCGGAATCTCAAAGAGGTTGCTTCGCAGACCGGCCCCGCGCAAATCGTTCGTCAAAGGATGCCCTCCTTTAGCCATATCGGGACTTCGGAGCGCTTGGATCAGGCTCCAGTCCCAAGTATTTCCGGCACAACAGGTCCCATAACGCCAATCGGCCCCAATCCGGCTCCTTCATGATTGCGAGGTCGTCGGTTATGAAAGGGCTTGGCAACATAAAGGATATTTGCTGGTCTCCTGCGCCGTTCAAGAGACGCAGGCCGCACCTGACGGGCTGTCCCCACCAGTTCAGCCGCCGGTATAACTCGACCAACCCGGTCCGCCGAAGAGCCGCTATCTCAGGCCTGACATCCCTGGGCTCACCGATACACAGGTGGAACTGCCAGTCCTGAAAATCCACTGTAGCATAACCATTGCACAATGTGATATTGGGTTTACAGGGAGGACGAATTTCCCATAACGCTCCCGGTATTACCGGGCCAATCCGGATGTGTTCCCACTCTACAAAGCAATCATTGAGGAGATTCAGCAGTACGTTTTCCCTGGTAGGCAGGGTAAACACTTCGAACCTTGCACCGCCCTCATCGACGATCTCACCTCTGAATGTGGACTCTCTCATGGCTATGTTGACCCTCCTGTATTAAGAAACTATCTCAGAACTTGTCGCGGCACCCAACACGTCATTCCCGCACAGGCACGCGTCATCCCAACGCACCCAACCCGTCATTCCCACGCAGGCATGCGTCATCCCAACGCACCCAACACGTCATTCCCGCGCAGGCGGGAATCTATATTCCTCGACCAACAACGTTGGGAAATCACGAGACTGATTGGTTTTGAGACAGGCTCTAAATGTTGCATGGCTCCCCTTTGGATGGTGGCAACAAAAAACCCCGGCTTTTACTCTGCCGGGGTTTTTGATGTATCAGCACGCCGCAGTTGTCCACCGGCCGGTGGCAGGAGCCGCGACGGATCCGCCTCTGTTAAGCGCAGAGTAGAAGTCTACTATCCCTGGGCAGGTCTCCTGGCTCGCGGATCAACACCTGACCGAACGCCTTCCCATCCCGACGACTCGGGACAGTGACTTCGTTGCCGGCCGGCTCCCCGCTTACAGTGGCGCAACCGCGGCGGACTCACACCGCCTTCCCTTTTAAACCGTATTGGCGCCCAGGGGGTGCTATTCGATTGTTAATTTGCTTGGGTCAGCTCCAATCCATTATGGGTAGCAGCCCGTTCGCTATGGCTTCGCCAGGACTCCTTGCCCAACCTGAGCTAAGTAACGATTTTCAGGTAGGGCTTGGTAAACACATCCCATTCGTTGTTGGCGGCGTTGTACTTCGAGTTGACGAACACCCGCCAGTTTTCGTCGTCCAGTTTGGGATAGTCGGCCCTGTAGTAGTAGCCGGGCCAACGGGTCTCCTTGCGATGCAGCAGGTGACGCATGTGGGCTTCACCAACCCAAGTGCGATGGATCAACTCCCAGCACCGCATAAGCTCGTGACGGTCCCGGGCGGCCAAGTGGGCCAGGTCCTCGCGCAGCAACCCTATCAAGTGGATACCGCGCACCAGTGTGGACTCGTTGGTCGTGTATGCCATGGAAGCGCCGCCGGCATACTCGTCCATTATCTTTTGCAACCGCACCAACCCTTGCCTGGGCGTGATGTAGTGTGGGTTGACCTCTTCTGCCGTGGACACTCCTTTGTACCGGTCGAAGGTCACCATGGGAGCCAGAATGGCTTCCTGGATACCCTTCACATGGGAGTCGTTCAACGTAGGGACTGCTTGGTGATCGGTCACGTAGTTGACCGCGGCTTTCGCGGCCAAACGCCCCTCGGTAAAGGAACCGGACGAGAACTTGTGGGGGGCCGCGCCGACGCCGTCGCCGGCGGCGAACAGCCCGCGGATGGTAGTCATCTTGTTGTATCCCCAGAAGTAGTCCGGAGGCGACAGGTCTTCGGGGCCGCTTACCCAAGCCCCGGCCTCCCCGGAGTGTGAGCCCATGATGTATGGCTCAGCTAACACAACCTCCGACGGCGTCTCCTCAGGAGCGATGTCCAACGCCGCCCAAGTCAAAGCTTGGGAAATGGTCATATCCAGGAAATCTTCCCACGCCTCGGCTCGTACCTCGTCCATCTTGGCTGGATCGCCGGCAGCCAGTCTCTGCATGGCCTGGTCCGTTCGCATGTACATGGGGCCCAGGCCCGCCTGGATGTCCATGAACATCTGGTGGTTCCGCAAAGGCGTCGGCGTGGGCACTGCGGAACCGTAAGGCTCATACTTCCTCAATTCATCGTCACGGGTAACGGTGTAGTCCTCCCCCAAGGCATTCAACACTTGGGCGTGGAAATACTGGAACCACATACCCACCGGCCCGTAGCCGTCCTTGAACCGCGTGGGAACGAAACGGTGCTCCATCTGCGTCATTTCGGTGCCGATGGGAATCATCAACCCGTAGGCGGAACCGGTGGCGAAGACCGAGTACCATGTCCGCCCGGTGCCCTCGTTAATCGACTTGGGACGGAAGACGTTGGACGCGCCGCCGGTGGTAATTATTACCGTCTTGGACTTGAAAACGTAGAACTTGTTTTCTCTGACGGAGAAGCCAAGAGCCCCGGCTATCTTCTCCGGGTCGTTGGCGTCGGTCAGCAGGTGGGTCACCGCAACCCGCTCGTACAGGTTCTCCGGCCCCAACGCTGTCCGGGCCGGTTCAGCAGTGATGGGTTTGATAGACTCGCCGTGGATCGGTATCTGCCATCGCCCGATTCGTTCGTACTCGCCGTTTTCCTTCTTCCAGATGGGCAGCCCCCATTCCTCGAGAAGGTGCACCGATGAGTCGACGTGGCGGCCCACGTCGTATACCAGGTCCTCGCGGGCCAACCCCATCATGTCGTTGACTACGTAGTTAACGAAGTCTGTAGGGGTGTTCCAGCCGTACCGCTGCCCCATGTAGCAGTTGATGGCGGAAAGGCCTTCACCGGTGGCGCCGCTGCGTTCGATTACGGCCTTTTCAACCAAGACCACACGCAGGTTGCGCCCCCAGTAGTTGGCTTCGAAAGCGGCGCCGCAACCGGACATGCCGCCGCCAATTATCAGAATGTCGCTCTCAACGATTTCCGTGGATGGTGTCGCCATGTTTAGCTCTCCTGTTTGCTGATGTGGACCTGTCGTCTCAGAAAGTCATTATTTTACGCTGGGCAAATCGGGCACGCCCAGCCACAAAGACTCTCCGGCCAAGCTCTGGTTTCGCAGGTCGGCGTCCCTTTGCTCGGTGAAGTTCTCGTACGGGTTGACCGTCCCGGCCTGCCTGGTGCGGGACGGGTAGGTAAAGCTGAACTCCCGGCCATCCCGGAAATGCACATCCCAAGTCAAGCCGTCTTCAACTCTGTGGGGCTGCACGGTGGCGCCCAACGGCACGAAGTCCGCATATCCTCTGACGTGGATTGCTTCCTGAGGGCAGAGCTTGACGCAGGCGTAGCACTCGGAGCACATCTCCGGCTCCCGGTTACGGCCCTTATTGGGCTCAAGGTCCAGCACCATCAGGTCGTTGGGGCAAATGTACACACACAGCGGCCCTTGGTGTTCACCGGCGCAAGCGTTGCAAGTGTTGGGGTCTACGAAGGTTGGCATGTTTCCTCCAATTCTCCCTATGTATTGGTTATCATTGTTAACGAGTTTTGATTGAGAAAAAGCCCCCGCTTTTTCCGGCGGAGGCAATTATTCACATTTTTTTCTAACCGCCGCTACAGACCTAATTCAACGCCGGGATGGACATGACTGGCGTACGGTTTTCCAGGTAGGCCTCGGTCACGAACGGCGAGCCGAACCCATAAGTATCGGCGCATTCCCGCACCACCTCCAGGACTTCCCCTCGCAGGCTTACTGAAGCCGGCTCCGTTCCCCCCTGGATAATGCTTCTGATAAAGGTGCCTGAGAGGTCCTGCTTGTGTTCACGATGGCCGCAAAGCCCCTCGTAAGCCACGCTTTCGCACACCGGGCAGTACCACCATTCCAGCGTCAACACCGACTTGATGCCCAAGTCGGGCAACTGGTCGAAAATCTCGTGGGCGGCGTAGGTGCCGTAGTAGTTCCCAACCCCGGCGTGGTCGCGCCCGAACATGTGGTGGGTGCAGCCCATATTCTTCCGCACCAATGCGTGGAACACCGCCTCTCTGGGCCCCGCGTACCTCATGTCCCACATCAACGTGGACGTCTGGTGTACATCGGGCCGTATGAAACCGCTCTCTCTTAACTTGTCGTGACCCAGGACTATGGCCTCGTCGATGTAGTCGCCCGGTTTCTTTTCTCCGATAACCGCGCTGACGAGGATTCCCTGCGCTTCTGCCGCCAAGTAAGCGCCCTTCATCATCCACTCGTGACCGGAGTGAGGCACGTTGCGGGTCTGGTGGGCGACAACCTTGGTCCAGCCCAGTTCAGCAAAACGTTCCCGCAACTGACGGGGCGTGCGCCAGAACCTGTCGTAGGGCGGGTTTATCACGGGAGGATTGACCAAAGTGATGGGGCCGGCGACGAATCGGTCCTGAAAGGAGTAGGTGCGCAGCACGCCCGGATGGGCTTCGTCGGTGGTGCCGTAAACGTGTTGCGCCAGGAACTCCTTGTCGTAAGAGAAGATTTCCTCAACCTCCAGCACCGCCAGTGGTTGGTCCTGGTGAGTCAGCAGGACCGATGCGCCCTCTCTGACACCCAAGGATGACAATTCCTCTTCCGACACATCCAGCACCATGGGGATGCTCCAGACGTATCCGTTGGCCAGCGTCATGTGCCGCACTACCGAGTCCACGTCCGCCCGCCCCATGAAACCCTTCAAAGGGGAGAAAAAGCCGTAAGCGAAATTAACGCATTCTCTGGCCACTTGCTCGCGGACGGCCAGCTTAGGCAACCCCGCACACAGCAGCCTGGCCTCTTCGGGCGACGCGACCCGTTCGATAAGCACCCCGCCATGGGGCGACAACGCGTTGTCTACCAATTTTCTCCAGTCACCCGGCTTCCAGGATGAAAAATTTGGGTCGTACCCTGGTCAGGGACCCCATTTGACTTAACTTATACGAAGGAATTGCCAGCTAATCCAACTACAACACAGAATAGCCGGTAAAACCCTGCCAGGAAATACAACGCCTAATTCTCTACTTACCCACGTGCATTGTCAACAAAAACGGTTGCCGCGTTATCGCTTTTCGTTTTTGCCGATGCACTACCTATACGACAGTCCAATTAATTAGCGGGCCCGATTAGCCAATAGTGAGGCCAATAAGTGAACCGCGTATAATCAGGAACGAGTTTATCAATTCTGCGCATGTCCTCAATGGACTTTATAATTCGTAATGCCGGAATTCTTTAACGTTCTGCCCCCGGCGCAAGCCCTCCAAGTCCTGCTGGACCGGCTCCCGCACAAGCTGCCGCTCGGCTGCGAAGAAGTCTCCGTCGAAGAAGCCTTGGACCGTGTGACAGCAGAGCCGTTATACGCAACCGAGCATCTGCCCGCCTTTCCTCGCTCCGCTATGGACGGGTACTCGCTCCGGGCCGCAGACACCTTCGGCGCGTCCGAGGGGTTGCCAGCCTACTTTACCGTGACGGGAGAGGTCCCCATGGGGCAGGCAGCCGGGTTTGCCGTAACCGTGGGCGAAGCCGCCGTAGCCTACACCGGCGGAATGTTGGCCGGCGGCGCGGATGCCGTGGTGATGATGGAAAACACCCAGATGGTGGACGCCGAGACGATAGAGGTGGTCCGCCCGGTGGCTCCCGGCGAGAACGTAGTTAATCCAGGAGAGGACATCAAACAGGGGGAACCGGTCCTTCCCCTGGGACACTGGCTGAGGGCGCAAGACCTGGGCGGGCTGACCGCCATGGGAATCACCCGTATATCCGTTGCCCGAAAGCCCGCGGTAGCCATCCTGTCCATGGGGGATGAAGTCGTCCCCCCCGACGCCGTGCCCAAGCCGGGCCAGATACGGGACGTGAACACCTACACCATATCGAGTCTGGTGCGGCAGGCGGGCGGCGTTCCAATACCTCTGGGCATAGCCCGCGATGATTACGCCGAACAGATGAACGCGGCGCAACGGGGCTTGGAGGCAGCGGACGTGCTGGTCTTTTCCGCGGGAAGCTCGGTCAGTTCCCGCGATCTTACCGCGGACATCATCAAAGGTCTGGGGCCGCCTGGCGTGCTGGTGCACGGGCTGGCGGTCCGCCCGGGCAAGCCGACCATTGTGGGAATGGTCGGCGACAAGCCTGCTATCGGCTTGCCGGGGAACCCGGTGTCCGCCATGGTCGTGTTCAATCTGCTAGTGCGGCCAGCCCTTTACTACCTCGCCGGCTGCGCCCATCCGCCGGTCCAACCCACCGTCATCGCCCGTTTGGCTCAAGACATCGCTTCTACTACAGGAAGGGAAGACTACGTTCCAGTCAGGTTAAAGACCGATGGCGACTGCCATATCGCCGAGCCCGTCTTCGGAAAGTCCAACCTGATATACACGTTGATACGTTCCGACGGATTGGTGCAGGTGCCCTTGGACCGGGGCGGCCTGTACGCCGGCGAGGACGTCGCCGTCCGGTTATACAGCCCATGACTCAGCACAACGACAAGGCGCCTCAACACCGGGGCAGGCGCCGCTACTTCCTCAGCGACATCCCCTTGGACGAAGCCCTTCAGAGGTTCTTCGGCGCTTTGGAGGAGGTTGAGGGTTTGTCCCCGCTACCGGCCCAACTCTTACCGGTGGATCAAGCCCAAGGCAGAATAACCGCTGCTCCAATCAACGCCGCTGCGTCATCCCCTCACTACGACGCCGCCGCGATGGACGGAATAGCGGTGAAGGCCGCCGATACGACCGGAGCCAGCGAGACTACACCGGTGAGCCTCGCCGTCGGCTCCCAAGTGGTCTGGGTGGACACTGGCGACCCGATGCCACCCGGTTACAACGCGGTAGTGATGATCGAACACGTGAATCAAATTGACGAGTGGACCGTGCAGGTTATGAACCCGGTAGCGCCCTGGCAGCATGTCCGCACCTTGGGCGAAGACCTTGTAGCCACCGAAATGGTCTTGCCGGAGAACCACCGTCTGAGGCCGGTGGACCTTGGGGCTTGTGCCGCCGCGGGTATTACCGAGGTCCCGGTGCGTAGGCAACCCAAAGTAGCAATCATTCCCACCGGCAACGAACTGGTGCCGCCGGGTTCATCTCCACTCAAGCCCGGCGACATCGTAGAGTTCAATACCCTTATGCTGGCCGGGTTGGTGCAGGAGTGGGGCGGTCACGCCGAACGTTTCCCTCCCGTCCGCGACGATTTCGCCCTCATCCGCGACACAGTCAAAGGCGCAATTGACGGTTACGATCTGGTGATAGTCAACGCCGGGTCTTCCGCTGGGTCGGAGGACTACACTGCCGCAGTCGTTGAAGAACTGGGACAACTACTGGTGCACGGCGTGGCTGTGCGTCCGGGGCACCCGGTAGTTCTGGGACTGGTGGACGGCAAGCCGGTAATCGGCCTGCCTGGCTACCCAGTGTCGGCAGTCCTGACTGCCGAGTTGTTCGTCAAGCCGCTGGTCGACCGCTGGTTGGGAATGCCGCCCCAAGTGCGCCCGACGGTTTCCGCAAGCATCACCCGCAAGGTATTGTCGCCGTTGGGGGAGGACGAGTACCTGCGGGTCAAGCTCGGCAGGGTAGGCGGGAAGATGGTGGCGACACCGCTGCAACGGGGCGCCGGGGTCATCATGTCGTTGGCCAAAGCCGACGGGCTGTTGCTCATCCCAAGGTTTTCGGAGGACTGATGCCGGACCGATGCCGCCGTCACTGCTGTGCGTACCTTGGTAGAGGTGAGAAGCACAATCGTCGTCATCGCAACGCCACGACCTCACCTGACTTGGATTCACACACGCCTGCGGCGCTAACCAATCGCAGGCTGACTCTCTCATCGTCCCATATCGGAAGCCTCGGCGGCCTGATTGCCCTGCGGCGTGGAGAAGCCCACTTGGCGGGGAGCCACCTGCTGGACGAGGCAACCAACGAGTACAACGTCTCTTTCATCCGCCGTTACCTGCCGGACATACCCATAGTGCTGGTGAACTTGGTCAGCCGGATACAGGGAATGATGGTCCTTCCCGGAAATCCCTTGTCCATTCATGCTCTGGAGGACCTGGCTCGCCCGGAAGTCAGTTTCGTGAACCGGCAGCGCGGCTCCGGCACCCGAGTGTTGCTGGACTACAAGCTGAAGGAACTGGGGATCCCCTCGGAGCAGGTTACGGGCTACGAGCGGGAGGAGTACAGCCACTTGGCGGTGGCGGCGGCGGTCAAGAGCGGCTCCACTTCAACGGGCTTGGGCATCCTGAGCGCGGCAACAGCCTTGGGCCTGGAGTTTGTACCCCTACTCGACGAGCGCTACGACCTTGTCATCCCCCGGGTCCACTACGAAAGCGACCTGCTGCAACCACTGTTGGCCCTCCTCCAAAACGCTGACTTCCGTCAGGAAGTAGACGCCTTGGGAGGTTACCGTACCGGTGAAATGGGGAGAGTTGTAGCGGAGTTGGGGTAAGCGCTAAATCACCGCGTTACAGTATAGTAAGAGTAGAACATCCAAAGGCCGTGAGGCTGCTCGGCTTGTGTATTATTTGATCACCGGTCACCGAGGTAAGTAATGGCTACACCCGAAGAACTGTCCAACCGCTACTGGGAAATGATTGTCTCCTGGAATACTCCCGAGCACTGAATAATGGACGTTCAGAAGACCTGATACAAGCATCTGAGAAGGCTTGGGGAGCGGTGGCCCACGCCGTCAAGTCTATCTGCGCCAAGCGGGGTTGGAACCACCACTACCATCTCTTGTTCCGGGATGCCATCGGCGTCCTTCGGTGGGAGTATGATAATCCCCGCTTGGTCCCGCTGTTCGCGTCCGCTGAATCCATGCACAATAACTTTTATGAACACCGGTTGGTGCCGCTGGACTTGCAGGACCACATTAACAATTGCCGGGAGTTACTGGCCGAGTTGGACGACATTCGCATCATTACACAGTTCAGCCCTACGAGCAGCGTCCAGGGAATGGAAGGGCGCATGAGGCGGCTCGCCACCCGCGACCCGGACATAGCCACACGGGAAGAGGCGTTGGATATTACGACATTGTTTCCGCCGGTGAGGGTGAGGTCCTCCACAGTTATCATAACGGCAAATACGCCTGTCCGGACGCTTGTGCCTTATTACGGCCGTCCTACCCTGCGCGTAGCGGTTACGATTGGCAGCCGCCGGTCTTTGCCGAAGGCCTTGGGGGTTATCTTGACCCCCGGCGGGGCTTGGCGGCGCTTGTACTCGCATTGCGGTCAACAAACTGGATTACCTGCCGCACCACTTGGGGGTCGAATCCCATGTCCACCATGTCCTGATAGCCATACTCTTCCTCCACGTATGCCTTCACCACCGGGTCCAGCACCTCGTAGAGCGGCAACGTATCCTGGTCAAGCTGGTCATCCTTCAACTCGGCGCTGGGCGGCTTGTCGATGATGGCCTGGGGGATGACCGGGCGCGGCTCCCCGTTCCGGTTGCGCCACTCGCACAACTCGTAGACCAGTGTCTTGGGCACGTCCTTCAGAACGGCGAATCCTCCGGCCATGTCGCCGTACAACGTTGCATACCCCATGGCCATTTCGCTCTTGTTGCCGGTGGTCAGCACAATCCAGCCGAATTTGTTGGATACGGTCATCAGGATATTGCCTCGTATCCGCGCCTGCACGTTCTCCTCGGCTACGTTGGGCGCCGTATCCCGAAAGTGCGACTCAAGCATCTCGGTAAAAGCCACGTGAGCGGGCTCTATGGGCACTATCCAAAGCTCCATGCCCAGCCCGTCGGCCAATTCTTCCGATGTAGTCGGTTAGTTTGAGCTTGCCTCGTGAAGATGCCGGGAGGAGGCATGGAAATGCCCACCACATTTTCCGCGCCAAGGGCATCGACGGCCACGGCTGCGGTAAGGGCGGAGTCGATGCCACCGGAAAGCCTATGGTTGCCTTGGAGAATCCTGACCTTATCAAGTAGTCGCGTGTGCCCATTACCAGGGCTTTGGTTCGTACTCCATCTTCCCACCGCTTCCACGCTCCATGCGGTCGACGCGATGGCGGCAGCAGCAGTAGGAATGGATGACGAGGGTCTTCGGCTTGGAAGCGGTCACGGGTACGACTCTTGAAACACCGGCTGATCGGGCCGGCGCAGGCTGCTTATGGCGGGCGCGCCCGTCCGGGGAGCCGGTGAGGACACGACTCGCCAGTCAGGTCCACGCTAAAGCCATTTCCTGGAACGGGCATCTGACGAGCAGTCCCGCGGCTGTTGTGGACTATGCTGGCGCCGTCGAAAACAAGCTCATCCTGCCCTCCTACGCAATTCAGGTAGGCCACAAAAAGCCCGTTATCCTTGGCGCGGGCGGCAATCATATCTTCTCTCTCAACGGCCTTGCCGGCGTGAAAAGGAGAGGCGTTGATATTCACCACCAACTGTGCCCCGGCCTGCCGCTGGGTCACTATGGGACCTTCGGGGTACCAGATGTCCTCGCAAATGCCCACCCCCACCAAGGCTCCGTTAATAACGTATACCGGGCACGTCGTACCCGGCTCGAAGTACCTGTCCTCGTCAAAGACGCCGTAGTTGGGCAAATAGATTTTCTGATATGAATCTATCAGCTTCCCGTCGTAGCCCAACGCGGCCGCGTTGGCGATGCCCTCGCCAATTTGTGCGTAGCCGACAACCACGGCGATACCCCGGGACGCGGCCACGACCCGTTCCATTGCGGCGACGTTGTCCCGCAGGAACGATGACTTGAAGAGGAGGTCTTCAGGGGGATAGCCGGTTATGGCCAGTTCCGGAAAAGCCACCAAGTCGGCCTGCAACTCATCCCTTGCACGCTCCAAGTATTCGATTATCTTGGACGCGTTGCCGGAGATGTCACCCACGGTGGAATTGATTTGCGCCAGCGCCAGCCGAAAAGCTTGTGCCATTTCTACCGTTGTTACTCGTCCTGTGCAGGAACCGTTTTGTAGCTCATCACAAGGTAAAGGGGGTCTCCCGGGGGGCTGGTATCCGGATTGACGAAACCATTGCGGATTCTCTCGAAATTGCCAGCGTCCCTCATATAGGAGGATACGATACCCATAGGCTTCGTCCACTGACATTGCGCCCAGAAGCGGTAAAGATTAAGCACCGCATTGGGCGGGGAGGAAAACTGCGGTTGGAAAAGGTCACTATGAAAACGCCGCCCGGCTTCAGGATGCGGTTGACTTCCTCAAAAGTGCTTACGGGCCGGGTCAGGTATTGGGCCGAAACGGTGATGACTACGGCGTCGAACGTCTCGTCTTCGAAGGGAAGCTCCGGCTCGCGGTTCACATCGTGGACCACGTAATGGTCCAGGTCGGGGTTGTCCTGCATCTCCACGGCGTTAAGGCCCAGTCCCGCCATCCGCTTCTTAGGATGGCCTGACGGCCAGTGCGAACGCCAACTGCTCATCAGGTCGAGGACCATCGAGTTGGGAGGAATGAACTCCCTGAATACCTGCCCCACCGCGGCTATGGCGTGGTCGTCTATATGCACCACCAGCCGCGCCATCGTGTAGAACTCCCTGTCGTCGCTCTCGTCTTTGTCTCTCGCCCCCGAGAAAATTCTCGGGGGGAGGGGATGTGAAGAGACCGTGATACACCTCCAAGGGCTGTCATTCCGTCGAGATGACCGTTGCCTTACCGTTGAGTTGATTGTATCACGGCCTCCAGCCCATCAGACTGCCCTGCCATAAACTGCCAAGGCAACCGCATTCAAGTGTAGTGCTCTCCGTCATTCCCGCGCAGGCGGGAATCCACCACGGCAATCGCATCTGGGCAACCGTAGCCCGCAAGCAAACGCTATTACAATCGTGACGAAACCGGATTGTAGGGGCAACCGTCGTGGTTGCCCTGGCCGGCGGGTGGAGCAGGGACAAGCCCTGCCCCTACAACCGTGACTCGTTCGTGACCCATTAAAGTGCGATTGCCCTGGGGAGTCCATCACTTGGAAGCGCCGGTGGCGTCCCCAATCACTGCACATTCAGGCCTTTGGACCCCGACGCAAGGCCGGAATGACAAACGTATGATTTAGAATGCGTTTGCCCTGTTTCCAAGCTTAAACTAAAGCCGAGGTGGGATGTACATTTCTCGTATTTCAGCTGCTGCCCCTGCGCAACTGCTTGGTAAACAGACCCGCCGTCAGGACACTTACGATGCCTGCGGCGAGACACATGTAGGCGATCCCCTCGTAGCCCGTGCTTGCCAGGAGCCAGCCGGCAATCGCCGCGCCCAATGCACCTCCTAACTGGTTGCTCAGGCCCATCATTCCGACCCCAGTGGCCTGGGATTCTCCCGAATGCTCGGTGCTGGCGGCGACGAGGGCAGGGAAATTAACGCTCAGCAAGCCTGTTCCCAACGTTGCCGCGGCCACAGCCACCCAGAATTGGAGTTCGACAGCGAAGAACAGAAACCCGCAGGCGCCTCCAATGGCGCAGGTGGCGGTAATGAGGACAGCGCGGTGCCTGCTCCCCGCCACAACTCCGCCTGCGTAACTTCCTATCACCTGGCCGGTTGCCATTATTCCCAGCGGCAGAGCCACGAACCGCAGGCTCACGTCGTATGTATTGATCATATAGGCGGCGAAGAAGCTGACCAGAGCCCAAAAGACGATGCGGTGGGCGAGACTGACCGTCAGGGCCACTTGGAAAACCCCTGGGGGGAGGGTGGGAAAAAGGGGGAACGATTAAGGGGGAAAGGTGTGGGGGTGGGTGGGTCGGAGGAGGGGTTTGAACGCACTATCCTTTAGAAAATGTGCGCTTTTCGTCGAACCCTCTCCCTGCTGTCTCTCGGGAACAACAACCAGTTGGCAACAAGGCCCAACGCACTCAGCAAACCCGAGGCGATGAAAGTAAATCGCCATCCGCCCCAGTCAGCCAGCACGGCCACGGTTGGCACACTGATCACCGATGCCAGCATGCCAACGGCCAGTAGAGCGCCGACCGCACGAGCCCGCCTTTCCGGGGATATGACTTCGGAAATCGCACCCACGAAGCTGGGAGGCAACGTTCCCGCTCCAAGGCCCGTTAACACCCGGAGCGCCAGGAACACCTCGATATTGGGGGCGAACGCAGACCCGAATAGTGATCCGGTAATCAACAACAACCCGGCAAGGGCAATGGGGCGACGACCGAAGGAATCGGACAATGGGCCCAACGCAACAACCGAGGTACCCCAGGCCGCAAATGTTGCGGTCGCCAACTGCCCGGCGACCGCAACCGATATATCCATATCAGTCGATATCTCCACCAGGAGAGCAGTAATCATCAGATTCGCGTTCATGGCGCCGAAGACGCCCAGAGCAAGCGCGGCGAAAAACCAAGCCTTGTTTACCTCTCGGGTGGCAAGGGCTTTCGCGCGGTAACTGACCCAAGGCGATATGCCGTAAGCCATCATGGCTAACCCGAAGGCCATGACGAGCAGGCCGCTGGTAGTCATGCCGCTATGTCCTTGGTTAGGAACAGAGGCGCCATCCCGGCCATTTCCAGGCACACCCCCCAATAGTACCTGGCCTTCTCGCCCCGGCGCGGGCTGCCGGAATCCACCAGGACCAGATATCCATAACTCTCAAAGACTTCGACGGCCACCCGGATTGGATCGAGAGAAGGGAAAGCTATTCTCTTGCGTTATCTTACTTGCTTTCTTCATTCTCTTTGGCCTTTCGTCTTCATACGAGGTTGAAGTATAATCGGCACAACCAGCAACGAACGAGTATCCTTCGTTTCGTTGCCCTGGAAGGGAAAAGAGCATGGCCGAGACGATAGCCCAGCGATTTGA